ATGCCAACTACTTCTGTTGATCAGAAAAATGATCAATAGTGCGAACCTTGACTTGGTACTGAGAATTGCTCGAAGGATGAGTTAGACGGGTGACATGCAAAACAAAACACACTCCGATGCGAAAGTCAGTAGCTGGCCGAACTAAACTCGAGAGAGAATCTAGTATTCGCGTACCTGAAAACGGAGTGAATAGGGTCTATTTATAGGCGACTTACTCGACAATATTCCGACAACTTTAACGTGGCCCTTTGTTATCATTTCATTTCCAAATTCGACTTACAGCGTGTTGTCGTGGAGTCTGTAGCTGAGCTGAAGATGCCGCTAATCAGATCAACGAATAATAAGGAATACGTTTCTACACACTTAGATCGGCTCAGCCATGTAAGACATCGGCTTGACCAAGCATCATATAGCAAAGATGATGAAACTTGAAGCTTGTCCTCGACTGCCACACGTCACACTCCTCCTCCAATCAACATGTGCCACCTGATAGGCTGAATTTGCCTCCAACAACTTCCTTTTGTCCTACGACATCGAAGTAAAAAGATCTCGAATTCAAAATTTTGAAATGTCGTCATCTTTTCACTTTTTATCACCACACTAGTCCATAGGGTGGATTTGGTGGGTTAATAAATGGGGTCACATATGCGAGATAGTGGAAAAGTAGACCCAAAATCCAAAAAGAAAAGGGAAATCGTGGGGGGCTTTTTCAGAAGCAACTCAGTCCTTTTTCCAAAAGGACAGTTTTGTCCACAACTGTGGAGGTGTGCAGTAAAAAAAATAAAAAAAATGGGGGGAAGGAGAAAAGTGTAATTATCAAAAAATAAAATAAAATAAAATAAAAAGAAGAAAATTTGAGAGAATTTTTTTTTTTTAAATTAAAGGTGTGAGTAGTGAGTAGTGGGATTGGGCATTGGATATGGACTCGACAGTCGGGTACTCTGACGACACGACGCTCCTTCCTTCACGTTTCTTTGCGTCTCAACTCAAAGTGTCAATCTTGTAATTTTCTCCCAACTTCTACAATCACACCATTATTTTATTTTCCTCTTTTCTGTTTTCATTTTTTTTTGTTTTATCTATTATTCGGAGCATCTATCTTCCAGGTAGCATAAGTTGGAAAGAGTCGAAGTTTGGATCGGCCTATAATGCCACATAATCCCTCATCTATCTTCCATGCAGCATAAGTTGATGGATTGGAAAGAGTCGAAGTTTGGATCGGCCTATAATACCACATAATCCCAATGTAAGTTTAGATACCATCGATTTGAATCTTGACAAGGGACGAGTTGAGGAATGCAGAATGTTAGGTAACTGCTTGCTAACCATCGTCGCGGACATCATGTTGAGATTTGCAAACCGCATAAAGCAAAAAATAAGTGGGATCCATTAGCCTACACCTATAAATACGGAGGTCTGCTCCGTGTACATAGTTAGACAATTCTTATTGTTCGTTTTGAGAGCAAATACCTCAGACTATAACTAATTTGAGCRTCAAAGAGCTTTTTTCCTTTTCTGTACAGATATTTCCTTGATTTTCCTCGAGGGGGGTCTGCTCGAGTTCTCACAGTGTGATCAAAATTCAACTTAAACATGCATCAAACTATGTTTAAAGTGATGATTTCAGTTTTGTTTGGATAACAATAAATGTGAGATGAGAGACTAATCTTGCCCCTTTAAGATGATGATACTCATTTGAAGATGTAATAATACTTTATAATACATTGGTGTATATTATTTGGTTTATGCATCTACTATTTTTTCAAATTTTAATTTTGTCGATAATATTTTGTTCGAAATTTTATTTAATGTTTAAAGTATAAAAACTTCAATGGATATATGTTGACCTAGGTTTTTAGACGAGGTGATCGGTTGGMTTTAGATTTGAGGGAGATACAGTTAGCTGAAATCTGCACGCAGAACAGTGCATCTGTGTGATACTCGGTCACGTATTACGCTGAAACTTAAGTTAGTACTTAGTCTGAACTCGTGTCGAGCCAAACGTAGTTGTATTCCTCTGAGAGAAATGAACTCCACCTTTTATATGGAAGCTTCGGGAAATGCTACCCTGCCATGCTGACGCTTTTGTACCTGATGTTCAATGGATGATCTTACACTTATGGCATCCGTGTCTTCATGTCAGTGCCGAGCAAGGTTTCGTTAAGTTAGTTGGATGATTTTGTTGGTCTCATCTCTCCTTCGACTTGTTTGAGYCGAGGCTCGAATGTGTGTTTCAAGGCGAGTGGTCCACATGTTTGGCTAATTTCAACTCTAACGAGATGGTTGCGGAATAAAATGATGATTTAATATTTAAAAATACATCTATTTTTTAAAAAATTTTATAAACAAACAACCTCTTAGATTAAATATTCACCCCCACCTTATTCAATTAAAGTTGTTAGCTAATGTGGCATTGCACAAATGAAAATTCCACCAAACCCAATTAGAATTGCACATTCCTTCGAAAAGGTAGAGATTTTTAAAGCATCACAAATGATGGGAGAGTTGCGAGGGAAAAAAAGGGCATATTGAATGAAAGAGACAAACATTGCATAAAGTAAGAAATTAAAAGAGATAACTCTTCATAAAGAAAAAAAAAAGTACTTCAAAAAACATGACACCATCGTTTTTCGTTTTATTAAAATCATATAAGATACAAGTGTTTACGTGATAAAATTTAAAAAAATTCCTCATCTAGTAACAATTGTACTTTTATATAAGTAACAATGTAGTAATTACGTTTTAATATGTAATAATTTAGTCCCAATAAATTAAATTTTGGAAGAACTTAGTCCGTACAATGAAAAATCTTATCAAAATTAAGTGTCAATTTTTATTACGTAGCAATTTAGTTTTTATAATTTATTAATACATTTAATTTTGTCCCTCCATCAATCTACATATATAAAAAATGATATTAAATCTAAATAGTCTTTATACTTTAATATGTAATAATTTAGTCCCAATGAGTTAAATTTTGGAAGAATTTCGTCCTCAGGATGAAAAATCTCATCAAAATTAAGTGTCCATTTTCATTACATAACAATTTAGTTTTTGTAATTTATTAATACATTTTGTCCCTTCATCCATCTACATATATAAAAAATCATATTAAATCTTAACAATATTTTCACGATAATAACTAAACCATTACAATTTATAAACTACACAGAAACTAAATTGTTATATATTAAAATTTAGAAAATCAATTGTTACAAATTTAAAAATACAGAGATTAAATCGTTATATACTTTGAATAAAAAATACATATATTTTTCATAATATATAATATATAAAAGAAAAATTAGGAACAAACTCCGCTCCCCTCCAACATATCAACTTCTCTCACTAAATTTTCGTGGGATTTCGATTTTTTTTAATAATTAAATAATTTTTATGTTATTCACAAGTTTACAATGGCAGCTGTAATTCAACGCAGAGAGAGGAGAGAGAAAGCAGAGGATTATTAAGAATTAGTTAATATTGGCTTCACAACATCTTTCTGACCGTACGATCTCTCTGAAAATGAACACTGCTGTACAATTTTTCCAGACAGTTACCATTTTTTTCTTTTTCCTTAAAACTGTTCTTTCTTTCTTTTTTTATTTTTTTATTTTTTTTATGACAGTAAATTCCACAACAAAAAGAAGAAATTATTTTTTGTTTGCAGGCATTTCAGAATCATGCTTCATTTCTGACAAGACATGGAAATTTTACAGTTAATAAAATCAATTTGTTGGTTATTAAACTAATTAATAATAATAATGTACATTTCCTGTCTTTTTCTCATTAACGACACTTTTCTTGTTAGGTTTATGTTTTTTTTCAATGAATCCCATATGTTATCACGTGGACAAAAGCTTGGATCTCTCTCTTCATCTAGATTTTTACCATTTGTTTGGTTTATACGTAATTTATATTTTTTCGTCAAATTATTAAATTTATTCATTTTTTTAGTCCTAGGATGGAAGATCGAATCATCGTTTTTTTTATTTCTCAGAATCGATGCCATGTGATTTACGTTAGTGAATCCTTATAACTAAGGTTCATTGTCTGAGTTGAGTTGGGTAACTCTGTAAGCAATATAGAACTCAAACACAAGATCCCATRACACAGRCGATACCTAAAGGCCTCATATCATCGACTTTARAGATGGTAATAAGTGTCTTATCACTGAACCATGTTATAGTTCATTTTTTTAGTCCTACGATGGAAGACCGAATCATGGTCCTTAGAGATGATAATAAGTGTCTTATCTATGATTGACAAATTTAGTTCAGCTAATGTACTTGTAAATAGGAATATATACTATTAYGATATGAGAAATTTCACCATCCACTTATGAAATAAAAGCATGGGTGAAAAAAATTCAACAGTACGAGGTACAATTTATTTTTTTGTCAAATCGAGCATTGCTTAGCGGTAATTGACATATATCTCAAATCAAGAATCCCCCATCCYAGCATGTTGTACTAAAAAAAACTCTCCACTTTTATTTTATTTTAATCTAAGTGATGTATTGTATATTCCTTGTCATATCGCATCAAGTTACAACTCATTTATCAAATCATGTCACGCCAATATTTTAGCAGTTCCTATACAACACATGAATTTTATCCTCCAACTTTCAATTGCGTCTAATAAATCCGTGTACTTTATACTTTAAAAGTTCTTAAAAGCCCTTTTAACCTTCAACGTTACATCTACTTGGTACTTGTACAAAAAATGTCTAATAACTTAATCCCTTTAAACTTACATAAAACGTATTATTTAAAAATTAGGCGACGGGCTAATTTTTAGTAGGTTTAAGTAAACTGCACGTATTATAAAATTTTAGAGTAGAAGTACTAGAGGCATAGAATTTAAAAACTTTTTATAGTACAATAACTTGTTATTTATTTTAATTGATTTAAATGTTTTTATTTATTTATGTTATTTATGTGGTGTTTTTTTTTTTTTTTTTATAATTACATATTTGCCTCGATTTTCCAGCCCTGATTTTGAATCAGGGGAAGTCTCTCTCACACACACTGTGTGTTGCCGCTGCTATATTTGTGTCATCTTTCTCAGTTTCGAAACCAAACTTTTTCTTCCGCTGAAAGTTGAAATTTCTTCAACTTGGTCGCTGAAAATCCATTCCCCAGAAGAACAAAAAGCAGCTCCCGATTCCCATTTTGGCTTTCCTTCTTCGCACAACATTGAATATTCACTCCCCTTTTGCAGAGAATTTCAATGATGCCTCAAAAGCATTTACACGAGCTGTTGAAAGAGGATCAAGAGCCCTTTGTTCTCACCAATTTCATCGCTGATAGACGATCTCTTCTGAAACGCCCTTCTCCCAAATCCAATTTACACCTCAAGAGGCGAAAACCCATCTCGGAAACCCTTGATTTTCCCGGAAAATTTTGCAAGAGCGCTTGTTTTTTCTCTTTCCATGAATCCCCTGACCTCAGAAAGTCGCCGCTCTTCGAATTTCAGTCTCCGGTGAGAAACCCCAATGCCATTTTCCTCCATGTTCCGGCTAGGACGGCGGGGATTCTGTTGGAAGCTGCTCTTCGCATTCAGAAACAGTCAACGGCGGCGAGATCCAAACCCCATGGAAAAACTAATGGGTTGGGGCTTTTGGGTTCTTTTCTCAAGCGGCTCACCCATCGGGGCCGCGCTCGGAAGCGAGAAATTGACGGCGATGGTCGGAGAAATGACCTCGGCGGCGGCCGGCCATTGCCGGCGAAAATGGCGATTGAGGAGAATGAGGACGAGAACGTGAACGAGAACGGCTCTGTTTCTGGGCAGACTAATTTAACGAGCTTTGCTTTCTGTGAGAGTAACTTTTGCGATAGCCCTTTTCGATTTGTGCTTCAATCGAGCCCCTCCTCCGGTCACCGGACGCCGGAGTTCTCTTCGCCGGCGGCTTCTCCGGTTCGCCGCGACCATCAGGTTTCTCTCTCCTCGGAAAACTCATTTTCTCACTGTTTTTACTTTTATCTTTCAAAATTTCTATCTATTAGCTTAGAAATGGCAGATTTATGAACTGGGGTTCACCGGAAAAGGAATCCAAATGTCGGCGGTGTGTGTAAATTCTCTGTAATTACCGCCGGAATTTGCAGTTTCAGCCGTCAAAACACGTCAACCCCACCAAAATTTCCAATGTCCACCGTGAACTTTTTACGAACAAACTGATAAATCTCTCATTTTCCCGGAAAATTATGACCCTCCAAGAAAAAGACAAACCCCCATTTTGTAGTTTCCTTTGTACTCTAATACCCATGAGTACCGACATCACCTCTTCTATAATTTACATTTTTTTTCTTTTTGTCTTTGGCATCATTATAATAATTAGAAGAGGAGAAGAAAAAACCCAATAAAGTTAAGATGGAAATCAACAACTTTACCAAAAAACCAGCGTAATCAAAGATCCATTTTTACACGCATGTTGTTCTCTTTGTGAACTTTTCTTTGCCCTGTTTTTCACAAATTTACAGGACAATGATGTGGAAAGCTTGAAGAAATTGCCAGTTGAGGATGAGGAGGAAGAGAAGGAACAGAGCAGTCCAGTGTCCATATTGGATCCTCCGTTCGAGGACGATGACGAAGGACATTACGAGGATGGCGAGGATGAGGATGGTTACGATTTGGAACGGAGCTACACCATTGTACAAAGTATGTAAGCATGATTCAACCCAACTGCTAATTTCCTAAAGCAAACATATATTAGTTTTTTTTTTTTGAATTGATTCGAGTTTGTTGTGCAGTCGTTATCGGTGACATTAGGTGTACTGTCTCACTTGAGATTTGTTACTGATACAAATGTCTGTTACACTTTATAGAAATGGTTAATTGAGGTTCACAACTCATAAGTATGCTGCTGGACTAGATATGAACACTTGTATCTTTGGTGGGTTCCATTTGGGAGATTTCAATTACCAAAAGGGTGGGGGGTGAAATCAAAACAAGGTTTTGAATCTAGGTAAATCTGTACTAGACTAGAACAAAGAGAGAGAGGGAGAAATCGTTTCATTGTCAGATAAATATAAGACAATGACATGGCGAGAAATTTGAGCACGCAACGATATTATTAGACACTTGTTTTCGGCCCGGATGGCATCTTCTGTTGGAGAAATGTTTTGGAGGTCTGGCCATTTTCTTGTTTCTTGTTCTACAAACCTTCAAATCTGACCCACATTTTTTGCTGTAAGAGATGTGTCGAAACTGTGCGAGTCCTCTTCTATTTATTATGCTGTTCAATCATTGAACCAATTTATTCATTGTTATCCAATCGCATCGTCATTGTCTGTACTTGAGAACAAGGTCCCCCCTCCCCCTACCCGCCGGTTCGAATTTTTTACTGTTTGAGCATTTAATAGGGATTTTGAGGCATATCAGTGACTACTCTGTGAAAGCATGGCAATGAGTTGTTTTAGTCATTAGGGATATGCACACTGCATTTTCTGTTAACTATCTTGTACTTTTTTACTTAGAAGATAGCCAAATTGTCTAATTCGTTCTCTTCATTATCATTTCATTTCCAAATTCAACTCTTTACATTATCATTTCATTCTCTTTTGGATTTAACGGTTCATTCTTACTGAAAACCGAACATTTAGTTTTCCTCCATAAGTCAATCACTTCGAAGTTTAAAGAGTGAAAATATGTTGTCCTTTTCTTCTATTAATAGCAGTGGTATGATGGTCACACCCAGAAAAAGTTTTCTATCTTTTTAGTACAGTTATGTAGCCTGAGTTCGGTTTCGTACAAATCCTGCATTGAATTACCTGCATTGCCATGGTCCCTACTTGTTTGTTGTGCAATCGAAAGTGGCATAACTGTCATACTTTTTCGATCGAGATTTCAAATTTCCTTGTTACCTTGTACTTGGATTATTCTTGATCCAAATTCAAAGAAAAAGTAAAACTTGAAGTTGGAGTCTTCACTCTTGGGAGTAAATTTAAGCCTGTTTCTGATCTCTCCATGTTAATTTTTCAGAGGCAAAGCATCAGCTATTAAAGAAGCTTAGGAGATTTGAGAAACTAGCAGAACTAGACCCGGTAGAGCTCGAGTCTTTTCTACTAAAAGGCGAGGAAGACGAACTCGATGATGACGATGACATCGATCATCTCAAGGAAGAAGAGTATGAAAGCCACAACTTCGAACAACACGACGTAGAGGCCAATGGCAGTTCAAGCTTCCAAATTCCTCATCGACTGGTCCGAAACCGCATTACAGGGGAACAGAGAGATCAGGCTGTAACTGACAACAGAGAAGAGATGACAAAGGGGGTGTACGTGAGATCGGATTTGTGGAAACGGGTGGACTCGAACGCCATAGACGCGACGGTGGGACAAGATTTGAAAACAGAGCTTGATGGGTGGAACAGAAATGAGGATCAGAGGGGAGAGGTAGCCATAGAAATAGAGCTGGCAATCTTCAGTTTGCTGGTGGGTGAAATGCAAACAGAATTAGATTGCTTAACTCATTAACTGCAATTCAGTGATTGGAAATTATTCCACTCCACAGAAATAATATTCTAAATTTCCACAAATAAGTTTTAGATTTTAGTTTTCAATCACTTTTAGGAACATAATCTGACTTTTAAGTAGAAAGATTAGGATGAAAATGAAAGGGACATCACTATATGAATATGATTTTGTACATTATTTTTACTGTCTACAACTTTTAATTTTTGAAATTCCCATTTTCCCCCTCTTTTTTCAGTCTGTTAAGGAAAAGAAAAAGAGAAATCATTTGGGTGGCTTTGGAAAACAAAATTTGAAAACGACATGTCAGTTAAAAAGGGGAAGAGATGGTTAAATTAAATGGCAGCTCCCGCTTGTCGATTTTGTTATCAGGTTTTTGCTTACTTTGGTGCATTCTACTCTGACAAAAAGCTTGTGTATAGACACACTTCAATGCAGCTCATCAAGTTGTGGGAGTGGGATTCATGTGTTTTTGAAAAAGGGAAAAGAAAATTCAAGTTTAAATTACAAATTTGCCCCTATCCCGATTCATGTCGGTGTAAAAATTTCTATTTGATCCATACGATTTGAGTTTGACTTCAGTTTGAGTTCTATGGTTTTGTCAAATTTCACATATCGTTCTTATTGTTACAACAAATTTGTGGTGTGATTAGAACCTTCAGACTTCAATCACAAAGAAGTAGACATTTAAGCGCTSAATTATGTGAGGGTGAATGTGGGGGGTAGATTCGAACTTAGGACTACATTGAAATGAGGCTCAAATTATAATGACAAAATTGAAACTAAACCTAAACCACATAGACAAAGATTGTAATTTAACAAAAAGGTTATATATCAAAGCGTGAAAATTATTAAAAAATAAGTTTTGGTGATGTTGATTGGATTTCGCACTTTAAATAGGCAAGTTCAATGTTAATGATTCTATGTCTCGAGACATCAAATTATACGTGTAACACCTTTTGTCTTCTAATGATTTTGCGCATTGAAAATTATCTTTATGAGTTAGGTAACACGTCTTGTCACTTCCATAATCATGTTAGAAAACCAATTATTGTAACTAATTGTTTGAAATGATTTATATGATATATAGATAGTAACATGATAGTAATAAAATTTTTGTGGTCAATTGAGCATTAGTTCAATCTATTAAAATACATATCTTCTGCTAAAAAAATTGAAACTTCCGATATTCATTCCACATGTCTAAAAACTAAAAATTAAAAAAAAAATCAGATATTGATTTTGGAGTAGTAGTTACATAGGACCTTCAATATGAATTAGTTGAAGTCATTTAAAAAATTTGTGGTTTTTTAAATACCAATTTAAATTACTTTTTACTATTTGTTTAAAATTTTAAGAGTGATATCAATATAATTTTTTTTAGTACAACGTATTGGGGAGGAGATTCAAACTCACAACTTCATGGTATGAGGTATATGCCAATTATCGCTGAGCTATGCTCACTTTGACAGTAAGGTGAATATAATTAACTATTAGTTTAGATATTAATTTATTATAATCATGACAATCATTAATTTAATTCTTGCTTGTGTATATCTATAATACTTTTATCTTTTCCTAGTATAAGAAATTGAGTATATAGATTTTGAACGACTGAATTAGGTTCATGTTGACATCTATAATATTTTATATATTTATTAGTATAAAAATAATTTAGCCGTTATTAATGATCCCTGCATTTATTTTTTTCTCTTTGAATATTATTGTAATATATAAATATTTTTTTCTCTTTTAATAAAATATGTGGGTGGGGATTCAAACTCGCGACCATTTGATTGGATATAGGTAACTTAATCAATTGAACTACGTTCAAGTCCACGAATGGTATTGTCATATCAAAAGGAATCCCATCTATGTTGTTATAGGTGGGAGCTCACGACCATTTGATTCTACCTAGATTGTCTCACAATATAAACTCCTAAATCCAATTTCAATAATAATAATTAGAAAAACTCTTAATCCCATTTATTTAATAGAAATAGTAATGCATTATGAGCAGTTTAATCCGCTCTAATCTATATCTGAAAGGTGATGGATTCSAACCTTTCATGTATTGTACTAAAAAAACAGAAAATAATGAGATTATGAGAGGGAGTCAAAGATGATACGTATAAATGAGAAAAATAAATTATAAAATCGAAATAAATTAAAAAATGTGTAATTACAATATAATTTGTTTGTTAATATTTGCAACAGAGTTTACATGATTCAGTAAATTATTAAATTTACCTACAAACATTTCTCTTTATTTTCTAAGCTGAAAGTCTAGCCAAATATTTAAAATAATTTTAAAAGAAAACATGAAATTTTCTACCCAATCTTTGAAATTTGGTGGAGATATTTAAAATCGTCTTCTCTTAKATTACATTTTTCTCKTTTAAATTTTCACCAATTTATTAAATATTATTCAAAATTTATCATTAGCAAATTTCATCAATTAACAACAATGAGAGACTAAAMATATAAGGGATTAAATTAAAACTTTTTAACAATATGACTAAATTAAAAAAAAA